AGCTTACCAGTGACTCTTTAATTGCTAAGACCAATAGCCTAGAGGTCATTCTACTCAACGTCTCTGTAACACCTGACATTGTGGGTCACTCCTTCCGTTATGAAACTTGTGTCTTTGAATGGTTTCTTTTACACGGCTGTCTCCTAATTGTGTTGCTGCTCCCTGTGGCTATACCCAGCCTCCTTCCTTGTCTCATCTTTTTTTTTTTTTTTAAGATTTTATTTATTTGTTTGAGAGAGAGAGAGAGAAAGAGAGAGCATGAGCAGTGGGGAGGGGCAGAGGGAGAGAGAGAAGCAGGCTCTTTGCTAAGCAGGGAGCCCGATGTGGGGCTCTATCCCAGGACCCCAAGACCATGAACTGAGCCAAAGGCAGATGCTTAACCAACTGAGCCACCCAGTTGCTCCCTTGTCTCATCTTCTTTATCATACTCACACCAGGATGCTCCTTCGGACCCCTTACCATTTTAGTGTATGCTCCCTCCCTAGGCTGATTCATCAGGACTTCCTTATCACTTAAATATGAATGGCTCCCTAGTGTTCAGTTCTTCTGTCTCTTTCCAGAGCCCTAGATTGTATTGCCAGTTGGAGTACTGCACATCTCATGGATTCCTAATGATTTAACACTCCTAGACAGGCCTCAAACCTGCCTTCCACTTCCATTCCTTATCTCAGTTCACGGCAACATTATCTACTTAGTAACTAGAGTTAGATTCACATGTTACACCTCCTTTTGTCCATCGCTATGACTGGCATCAATAGTCAGCATAAGGTAGTGGGCAAGAGCTAGGACTCTGGAGCTGGACTGCCAGGGTTCAAACCCAGCTCTACCATTTATTAGTAGATTTTGAGCAAGATACTTTTTTTAGTAAAAAAAATTTTTTAAAAAGATTTTATTTACTTATATGTCAGAGAAAGAGAGAGCACAAGCAGGGGGAGCTGCAGGCAAAGGCTGAGGGAGAAGCAGGCTTCCTGGTGAGCAGGGAGCCCATCTTAGGGCTATATCCCAGCACCTCAGAGATCATGACCTGAGCTGAAGGCAGACGCTTATCTGACTGAGCCACCCAGATGTCCTTGAGCAAGATTCTTAAGTAGTCTGTCTTAGTTTACTCATCTGTAAAATGAGAATAATGACAGTAGCTACCTCCTGGGGTCCTTGTAAGGATTAAATACGTTTGTATTTACAAAGCACTTAGAACAGCATCTGGCACAGAGTGAGTGCTGTACAGGTGTTTGCTAATAAATTGGTCTCTGATTTGTCCTCCTTCTAGTCCTTATTTCAAACTGCTTACGGATATTTTCAAGGGGCTGCTAATTATTGAGTGGTCAACTAGTCATTGTGGTAAGTGCTTTATAAGCAGAATCTCAATTAATCTTCATAACAACCTGCTGGGGAGGTGTTATTATCATCCCCTTTTGAGGGATGAGGAAACTGAGGCATTAAAAGCTAGTGTACTGGGGTGCCTGGGTGGCTCAGTGGGTTAAAGCCTCTGCCTTCAGCTCAGGTCATGATCCCAGGGTCCTGGGATTGAGCCCCGCATCAGGCTCTCTGCTCAGTGCAGAGCCTGCCTCTCTCTCTCTCTCTCTCTCTCTCTGCCTGCCTCTCTGCCTACTTGCGTTCTCTGTCAAATAAATAAATAAAATCTTAAAAAAAAAAAAAAAGCTAGCGTACTTTGGGGTGCCTGAGTGGCTCTGTTGGTTAAGTGTCTGACTCTTGGTTTTGACTCAGGTCATGATCTCAGGGTTGTGAGATGCAGCCTTATGTCAGGCTCCACGTTCAGTGCAGAGTCTGCCTGGGATTCTTCCCCTCTTCCTCTCCCTTCCCCTCTGCTCCTTCCCCTGCTCGTGCTCTTTCTTTCTCTAAATAAATAAATAAATAAAATATTTTAAAAAAGAACTAATCTACTTTGCCCAAGGTCACACAGAGTCAAAATGCCAGAGTTGGGATTTTGATTCAGGTCTATTCCCTGAGCCAGTGCTCAAAACCAGGAATCTTTGCTATACTGTTTTCCCAAATCTGAGCTAGTCACTTAACTGCTTAACCGTCTTCAAAGACCCTATACCACCCATGCTGTCATGATGTATTTCTTCATAGTCCTGTTCCAGTTTAACTCCATTTCCTGTAACTTTCCTCCATGCAGATGCCCCTTTCCTTCCTCTCCACCCCCCTCCCTTCTTACCTTCCTTCTTTCTTTTCGTTGTTTTCCAACATTTATTGAATCCTTGAATGCCAGGCACCATGCTAAGTTGGAGAAAACAAGAGAAATGAATACTTTATCTTCAGGGAGCTCATAGCCTGACAGAAATTACCATTGACATACAGTGAGGGGATTGTACCAGGGTGATGTGGGAGCCAGACCGGGGAAAGGAGAGAAAGGACGAGGAAGAGTTTCTCTGAGGAGGGGACATCTAGCTGTTTAAAAGGACATTCCAGTCAGACAACTTCTTGCCATTCTTTAACACACCCAACTTCTTCTTGCTTTTTGCCTTTGAGATCTTGGAGGTGTCTTTCTCTCTGTCAGATTGGTGTTTAAGACTGTATTTCAAAGTCACTTTGTCTAGAATATCATCTTTTCCTTCCCAGTCAGTTGGATATTTGTTTCCTTGTACATACACAAATTCAGCATAGATCCCACTGTAGTCTAGCTATTGGTCTATCTGCCTCTCTCTCTGACTAGACTGTGTTGTCCTCGGGAAAAAAAAAAAAAAGACAGAGTCTTATTTTTGAGCTGTCCATCATTCCTAAGGTGGCATGACCAGCATATCATAATACTCAGTATAATTTTGTTATGAAGAGTTATTTGTTTATTTACAAAAGAAGGTATAAGGCAAGGGGCCCTTCTGATTTAGAGTAAAGCTATTCAGACTATTACTTATAGTCTCTAGAATAGTGCTCTGCAGAAAGTAGTTGTTCAGTAAATACTAAGTATTTGATAGTTTTGTCAGTGAAATATCTGAATATCTGAAGTTATGTTAGGAATAAGGAAACATTAAATCTACTTCTTTAGATAAATTAAGATTTTCATGTTTAACTAAGTGTCAGGGCTCTGGATCAGGCATGAGAAAAATTAAGAATTGTTGGTTATAGAGCTAGGATTGGGGATTTCCTTTCTTCCCTGGGTCAAGTCCTGTATCCAGTTCTGTGAGCAGCTAAGACAGCAAGGTATGGCTGTTGGGAGCAGGATGTGAGGTCACCAGGGGTTGCTGCCAAGAATGTAGCATCCTAGTCCATACTCCGCTAAAGGCCCAGCAATCTCTTTTGCACCTGCTCCTGGTTCCATCATCCTAGGTGCACCATTCAGTCATTTCCCTCTCTGTGGTTGTGTCTCCTTACTGGGAGCATAGCCTTCTCTTTTGCTCATTTATTTCTCCTAGGAACTTTTACTTTCACTAGAGGGGGGATTGTTATGGTGGGGAGAGGAGTATGGTGTTGAGATGAGAGGAGACCTCATTGCTATTCTAATCCTTGTTCTTGTTCTTACGACGACTCCCCTTTCAACAGTGGTTGAAACTTATGTAAAGAAAGACTCATAGCCTCTGCCTATTTTCCATCATGCCTCATCCCTCTCCAGAGGAAATGATTGCAGAACCCCTACTAGCATGAATTAAGAGGAAAGGAAAGGGGAAAAATACAGGGAGGGAAAAAAAAAAGTCAACAGCAAAGACTGATACCTCAGAATACTGTCCTGGTCACAGTGGTCTCTTTGGGTGTCACCAAAACTGTGAGAATTAAAGGACAAAGTCCATGGAAGGGGTTTAGAATTGCATTTGGAATGTACACAATGAGTGTTTAATAAGTGTTAGTTGTTATTATCCAGTGCTCCTTTACTCAGGGAAGAACCTGGGTTTCCATTCCAAATCAGGTCATCTAGGACAATCACTCCCACACTCAAAAGAAGCTCTAACCGTATGAGTTATCTATTCCCTATGCTTCCCTAGGACAGTTCAACCTGGACACCAGATGCATTTCTGGTCTCCCTGGGGGTCGGGGTTGTCACGGTACCCTTAGGGGATTTTCTTTCCTCCCAATATTGGTTTTCGTCTCAACTTCACCCCAAACCCCAGGAAGCTCAGTCACAGGTCCAGTTGGTAACTTTCCCCCAGTATGCCCCCTCCCAGTACTGGTTTGGCTGCAGGTTATGTTACTGAACTTTCTGGTAGCTCTGGGACTAGACAATTACACCGAAATTAAAAAACAGCATACAATTTTTGGCACTGTAATTTTTAATTAAATCCAACAAGCATTTATTGAGCGCCTAAAGCGTGTACAATACAGTTCCTTTATAAATACGTTTGATTCTTAACTATTTAATCTGTTTTACTCACTCACTTTGGATTAATGTTGATCCATCCTTAAGAGTTGTATGAAGAGGGGCGCCTGGGTGGCTCAGTGCCTTCAGCTCAAGTCATGATCTCAGGGTCCTGGGATCGAGTCCCACATCGGGCTCTCTGCTCAGCGGGGAGCCTGCTTCCTCCTCTTTGTCTGCCTCTCTACCTACTTGTGATCTCTGTCTGTCAAATAAATAAATAAAATCTTAAAAAAAAAAGAGTTGTATGAAGAACAAATACTAAAATGAAAAACTGTTTGCACAACTCTTTGCAAATATAAACGTCTTGTGTGGATTATTCTTGCTACAGTATTAATATTAATTGCAATAACAACACGGCCACTTTCCAGGCAGGCGGTAGAGCGCAGCCCTAAGGCCAACGGGAGTCAAACGGAAGAGGTCAGGGGAGGTGCCTCCCGCACGTTCTGCCCACAAGGGGCGGAGCCTTGAGGAATGTACCCAAACCCAGCCCCTTACCCTGCCCCTTTCGTCGGTGCGGCGTAGGCGGTTACCATGGGGATGACGTCTAGAGGGCGGGGCGGGGCGGGGCTATGGAGAGGAGGAGGAAGATGGCGGGAGGGCGGCTCTGAGGAGACCTCGGCGGCGGCGGAGGAGGAGAGAAGCGCAGCGCCGTGCCGCGCCGGGGCCCATGTGGGGAGGAGTCGGAGTCGCTGTTGCCGCCGCCGCCGCCGCCTGTAACTGCTGGACCCGAGTGGGAGTGAGGGGGAAACGGCAGGATGAAGTTCGCCGAGCACCTCTCCGCGCACATCACTCCCGAGTGGAGGAAGCAATACATCCAGTATGAGGTACCGGCAGTCGCCGGGGTGTGGGAGGACTCGGAGGGGCCACCATCTCGCCAGTCCCGACCTCCGCTGCCTCCTTCGGCTCCCGCTGCCTCCCCGCGCCTGGGCGGACTTTGACCCGGTGCGGCGGGGAGCCACTGCGGCATCCCCGCCGCGGCCGGCCCCCTCTGGGCCCCGCTGACCTTCCCCTCCCCCGCAGCCCCGCTGCCACCGGGGTAACGGATATGCAGGCGGCGGGCCGGGAGGGAGGGCACAGCTCGGCCCGGGCTGGGGAATAGTGGTGGGAGGGCGAGCCGCAGGTTGGGGAGTCGGGGTGGGAGGGCAGCCTGGGGTCGCGGCTGTTCCGCGCTGATCCCCTCCTCCCCGCTCACTCTGACCTCTCGTCCCCACCCTGGGCGAGCGCCCCCTCGCCAAGGTTAGGTTTTGTTTCTCTCTGCTCACCTCTTACCGAGGAATCCTTCTCTTCCGAGATAAGCCCCTTTAGTGATTTTCTTCATTCCACAGAGCCCTTCCGCTTTTCCCCACTTGCCCACTGTTGACAAAGGCTTTGTAACAGGGTTGAAACTTGATTTAAATGTATATCACATAAGCAGTGGTTACTGTATGCAAACGTATTGTAATCGTCTATTCTGTTTCGATAAGACGGTGACTGGTCTTTTTACTGATTGCTTGAAGTATACAAAGTAATCACATCTCTGGTTTTGACTCTCCTGTTTTGGAACGGAGTAAAGGGAAGGGGGAAGAAGGGAAGAGAAGAAAATAATTAAAAATTTCAGGTTTTCTCTCCTAAGATTTTTGTTAGCTAGGGAGAAAACTACTGTATTGTAAACAATGTACTTTTAAAACATACCTGTGTATTAGAGATACCATGCCCCCCCATTTCTGTGATAACAGCTCCTTGAGAGTATGCCATAGGTACTGATAAGAAACCTTACATTAATATATTAATATAGGGAAAAGTAAAGATAATGAACCCATTTATATATTCAGAAGGCAAGGTACTTGAAGAGCTTTAAGCACTGCAATAGGTTTTTCTCAGGAGCTGGTAATTCAGCGCCTGGATAGAAAGACTTATCTGTAACCTCCAGGAATTCACATCTATGTATGTGCAGGAACAAAGAGTATAAAATCAATATGAGCACAAATATGTTAGCTACATTTTATGAATTAAAATATTTTAGCTCTCTATTTAATTTCTGTTCAAGTTCATTGATAGTATGTTTAGGCAATAGCACAAAGTTTATTTTTCATATAGCAGATGTAATAATTGAAGAAGACAGGGAAACCTAGAAGATTGTAAAATAAATTCACCTTGTAAAATACAGTGTTTGATTATTGCCAGAAATGAAACACCCAGAATTATTAATGCTTTCTTGTCACTTAATTTTCTTATAGTGTTTTGTGGCTACATTTTGTAAGAATGAAATAAGGCACTAGCTTTTCAGCCTGTGGAGTTCTTGATTTATTGTTTCTAATAACATTTGGTCAGTTTTAAAACCTTGGCTAGGGTCCAGATGATGGTTTTTATTGAAAGGAGGGTATTGGTCTTTCATCTTGTAGTAGTAATTTTCAGCACCACTGCCAGTTCTTCATAGAGGCATAGAACACAGCATGCAGAAGCAGCATCTTATACTTATTATGTAGTATGGAATGCTTAATTTGGGCAAAAGTAATAGTGGCTGGTTGTATGCTGTGATTCGTTTTAAGTATTACAGTACTTAACTGTCTCATAGAATTGTATTAATTTGGAATATCTGGGACTGGAAAGGGAGCCATAAGATTTAGTTTGAAAATTCAATTACCTCTTCATTCGTAATGTCAGCTTTGTGGCTGGAGTAACCACAGTAATTCTGAGACTTCTCATTCACATATTCCGTTTAGACACTAACACTAATTGGTTAGGTTGGTTACAGAGGGAGTGTGACTGCATTATCTTTCCTGGGGCAATTATAAATTATTTTTAAAAAAATTCATTTATTATGGATAATTGAAATTTTGTTCTGCAGAGTCCCTATTACATGACACCTGTCCCAGATAAACTCATTGTTTGGTAGGTAAAATTAAATAAAGGGGACTTTGTGCATTGGAGCCTTGAAAGACATTTTTTTTTTTTTTTTTTAAATAGGGTTGAGGTCTGTGTTGTATATTGTTTCTCAAGAGCTGATGCTATTTCTTTAAAAATACTTAAAGAGGCATAGATAGGAGTTTTCAGAGTCCAGGCATTTTGGCAACTTAAAAACTTTGGGGAAAAAAATGATACCCTAAAAGAGGATAGTTGTTGCTAGAGAAAAGAACTTTCTTATAAAGCAGTAACATGTAGTTTCTCATATATAAAGATCGTGCCCTGAAACACTGTTAGTAGAACAGACACTTGAGTTTGTTTTTCAAGCACTAGTGGTGAAATTTTAGGGTATTACCCCTGATGTGTAGCTAGGATGCTTTTTAGTGCTGTGAACCACAATGAACTGTTCAGCTTCTTTGGTTTTTATGTCATTTCACTACATTAAATTTTATTTGAAATAGGCAGAGCATTAGAAACTGAAAATTTTGTTTTAATGTCTATAATTATTTGTATTATTGTGTATACATGGTCAACACTAAAGGCTAGTTCTTATATATGTTAGCCATGAGACCCTAGGGACAATCTTTTTGCCTTTTCAGAGCTCTTTCCTTTTCCATAAGATAAGAATATAGGGCCAGAGCTTTTCAAGTTCCATTATGGTTCATAGGTTTTTGGTTTAATTTTTAATGCTTTTTGGTTTTTGGAATGTTAAAAATTATCAATATTAGTGACTCATCAATACCCTAATAATTACTAGAGTTTCTAATTTAAATAAATTGTAGGGTTCATAACTCAATCTTCATAGGGGAATAATAAAGCATAAAAGAGAGGAGCAAGAAGAAACCATATAAAGAAAATCTATTTGATCCATTTGTGAATAGTTTTTACAGAGAATAAACACAAATGAGCAGAGACCATCCCTTTTCCACTCATCTATTTGAGTGTAAATCTTGGCATAGAAAATAGAACATCAATAAATCTTTATGAGAACACTTTAAAAAAAATTAAGAATCAGTGATTGCAATTTTAGAGCTCTGTAATTGATTAATCAAAATTAACAGACCAGTTTCAGCCACATAGACTACTAGTATGATGGTGTTAATATTTTACAGCATATTAGCAAAAGAAGCAAATATATTTGGTGCCTTAGGCTGCTGACTTGTGTTTTCATCCCTAGGGTCCTGTGCTGCTTCGGTTTCTCAGGAAATAGGAAGGTTTTTTTTCAGCGTATACTGTAGTTTTGTAAGATACCAAAATAATGAGGTATCTAAATTTCAGGATTTTAAAGGGAATTTAAATACTATTTACCTTCTTGTTTTTTCAGACAGGGAAACTAAAGTTCAGGGAGGTTAAGTTGTTTGTTGGGGATCATTTATAGATAGCTCATCTCTTGAGCATAGAAGTGTAGGCATTGGGAGTCAGGCTACCCTAGCTGTGTGACCCTGATGAAATTACTTCCTCTTTCTGGGTTTTAGGTTTTTCATTTGTAAAGTGAGAGAACTGGATTTGATGGTTTCTAAACTCACAGGACTATATATATTTCCTCAGGACCCATCTAGCTTTAAATGTCTGTGTTTTTATGGCTTAATTATGTTTGATATATGAAGAAGACAAAACTTAAATTTAGGACTGTCATTTACAAATTTTTAAATTTCAATTCAATTTAATTAACATGTGGTAGTATTAATTTCAGAGGTAGAATTCATTGATTCACCAGTTGCATACAACACCCAGTGCTCATTACTTTAAGTGCCCTCCTTAATGCCCATCACCTAGTTACCCCATCCCCTACCCACCTGCCCTCCAGCAACCCTCCATTTGTTCCCTATAGTTAAGAGTCTCTTATGGTTTGCCTCCCTCTCTGTTTTCTAGGACTATTATTAATAGCATTTTTGTATATTAAAGTTCTTTTAGAAAAAATTTGAAAAGATTTTAGTCTGTGAATGGAAAGCTGACCCAGTGAAACTTTTATTTAATTTAAATAAGAAGTGATAATCCTGGATTGATTTTTTTTTTGTTGCAGGATTTGGAAAAGGAGAGATTCTGTGTAAACTGTACATCCTTTTTTTTTCAAGTGTAAGGACATATTGCCATGACATTATTGTGATTTTCATTTATAGAACTATCCCATGAGAACACTTGTGTTGCAGGCTTCAATTTCCCGTAGGTATTATGTTGATTCATTAAGGTTAACTTGTCTTGCTGGAACTTGTTTGAAATTTCCAGTTTGGCCACCCGATGGGGCACAAACCACTTTTTCTTTCAGGCACTTCTGCAAGTATAAGTACCGTATGGCATATTTAAGATAACACTTGTAAATAAGATGCCTGGCACTTACCAATGTTTCTTAAATGAATAAATGAATGTTATATAAAAGAGGAACCTATTACTATTCTTTATTATGTTTGTATGTTAGGGTGAAGTATGTTAGGGTGAGTATTCTGGAAAGATTATACTTGTCCATCTATCCCTGAAGGTTGGTTTTGGATCAGCTTTTGGGTGAAGGCCCAGATCATAAGAACATAAGAATCTTATTTGACCTGTGGTGACCATGGAAAATTAGTCCTGGCTTCAAATCCAGTCATAATCTGGAAAGCATTTGAGAGACTGATTGAGTTGTGCTGGTAGGGGTTTTAAGTATATCTGTATCATAGTTCCCAAAGGAGAGTACCCCAAACTCTCATGGAGTAAGAGAAGATAATACTAGAATTGTTTGTTATATGCATTTTTATGAATAAGAGAAGGAAGAAATAAAATTTTACTAATATTTAATAAGTGGATCAATTTGATACCTTGTTAGGTATTCTGAGAAAAAGAAAAGGATTGCTAATAGTTTTCTTACTTGTTTGTTCACTTTCAGCAAATATCAATTCATCTAGTTTATAGGTATGTAGAATTTAGGGATATTATCTTGTTTTGACTAAACTTAACTCATAAAATG